GTGGCCAGGGGTTGCAAACACCGGGGTTCCATGGGTCTAGGGGAGGGAAAAGTGGTCCTGGGGCTGGGGACATCTCCAGTGGGAGAGACATCCCTTGCCGTTGCTGGCACCCAGCCCGGATGATGTGTCCCATCCACTGTCCTTGCAGCAAGCAGCAATGAGAGCGACATCATCAACGCCATCACGGTGGAGAAGAGCGTGGATGGCAAGCTAGGCTTCAGCGTCCGCGGCGGCTCCGAGCACGGGCTGGGCATCTTCGTCAGCAAAGTGGAGGAGGGCAGCGCTGCCGGTAAGTGGGACAGGGCAATGGACACCGTTGGGGACAGGCACATGCCAGCAAGACCTTTGGGGAGCTCCCAGTAATGTGGTGCCACACAACAATGCCACCCTTCATGGTGGCAAGCCACCATTTGCTCCCTGGCTGTGGGTGTTTCAGGCTTCCCATGGACAAGGACAGTGGACAGGAGTGGGGAGCCCCATGCTGATGGCTTTAAGCTCCATCCCAAGCCACAGTGAGGTGACAAGCCCTTCTATGTCTGCTCTGGCCTCAGTGTGATTGCCAGGCATCCCCATCTTGGTTCTCATGGGGTTCAGATCAGGTTGGGGACACATTTAGGGATGGGACATGAAAAAAGAGCATCAGTGCCAGGCGAGGTGCCCAGCCGAGCCACGTGCCCCTTGCAGAGCAGGCCGGACTGTGTGTTGGTGACAAGATCACAGAAGTGAACAGCGTGAGCCTGGAGAACATCACCATGAGCAGCGCTGTCAAGGTCCTTACTGGCAACAACCGCCTCCGCATGGTGGTCCGGCGGATGGGCCGCGTGCCAGGCATCAAGTTTTCCAAGGAGAAGACAGCGTGGTGAGCAGTGTTTCCCCCATGCCAGCACCCTGAAGCTTAACCCCAAGGAGAGCGTGGTGGGAAGGCTCAATGGGGGGCAGATGGGGCACAGGGAGGAGCTGGTGGGGCATGTGGGTGCTGTCAGAGGTCTCTGACAAAACTGGGGAGAGCCTAGGATGGGATAGGATAGGAATGGGGCAGAATGGGATAGGAAGGTCCAGAGCAGGCAGGGCATGGGCAAGCCCCATCCTCAACAACTCCCATCCTCATCACTCTCCTCCTCTGGGTGACACCAATGGACTCATCCTGCTGGAGGAAAAACCCCCCTGCGCCCCACCCCTGCCCCTATGCTCCAGGGTGGACGTGGTAAACAGGCGCCTGGTGGTGGAGAAAAGCGGCTCAACGCCGTCAGAGAGTGGCTCTGAGGACGGGCTGCGGCGCATCGTCCACCTCTACACCACCTCCGACGACTACTGCCTGGGCTTCAACATCCGCGGTGGCAGGGAGTTCGGCCTTGGCATCTACGTCTCCAAGTATGGCCGCCCCGGGGAGCA